CTCTCGGGGCACAAGGCAGCTGTAACTTCAGCAGCGTCAGGCCGAGCTTCTGCTTTTCCTCCACTATGACTCAGATCTCAAGACACCAGCAAGTCCATGCAATCTGCAACCCCAGTCTGGCCTTGGCCTCAGTGCAGATATTGCCAATAGCATGCTTGTGGCACGTTCTGTAGGAACTAGAACAACTGCACATGGGTCGCTGAAGGCCCGCAGGAGGGTGGTAACTTTCTGTCTCTAGCGTGGACATTATGCATCAGTGACCAACCTCCCCTTTCACGCTAATGCAGAATCATGAGGTCAAATTCCTTGTTCAACAAGTCATTGAGTCCTTGTTCAGATAGCTCCACCTGAGAAATCCAGTACACGTCCTGCTGTCCAAAGCCTACAGCCATTGCATCCAGCTACTGCAAAGAACTTTTAAGAGATGAGAAAACCACACAAACAGACACTATGAGGTCCAAATGGGTATTTTTTTAATTCCCACATATAAACATACAGGCCCTAGCTATATACACCACTCTTCTGTTTGGCCCTGTGACTTCTGCAGTAAAAGACCTGGAGGCCTGCTAAAAGGACCCCTGCCTCTTCAAAGAAATATTACCCAATTTTTATTTACTACCAAAGTCCTCCTAAAATTGTGTGCACTGAATTAGATATTACCACTATTTAAACACTGCTGAGTAGCTGGTGACATAGGTAGTGTGCATTATGTCACATTTCTCACAGTAGGCAATAGGAGCATGTTGCTGACAGACCACATCGCAGCCCAGTAAGCAGATGGGTAGAGAAGAAAACTCAGTTTTTCTCTTACAAAAAAGAAAAAGCCCACTGGTTCTGGAATATTTTATTTTAGAGCAAGAGTTGTCTCTGTTCAAAACACAGGCCAAGCCCAGCAGCGTTCCCAGAGCAGACAAAACAGGTCATTTGCCTGAGCACTAACAGCAAGGAGTGGTCTGAATTGTATTACACATTCCAGGATAAAACAAACATTGGAAGATATTACCCATGGCTCGACATTTGTACAGAAGAAGCAGTCAATGTGCTCTGCCCTTTGGGAGAAGACAATAAAAGGGTGCATTTTCACAAGGAGGTCAGAGTTGGGTATAACCATGTCATAAAACATTAGATCCTCTTTCTGGATGAGCTACGCACAATCTTTTATCTAGCAATTTAAAGGTCATCTGTCTGCTTTGCATGGGTGCCTGATGAGGTGCAAGCTGTGTTGCTGCTGGCTTAGCACTAGCAGAGTTGCACATTGGTGCGACCAATCTGCCTTTTACTTGGGTCTAAATGTCTACACAGGGCAGCCCCAGAGGAGCTAAGAGATGCTTCTGACTAGAGACAGAAGTATTATTTCCCTCATATCTCAGTGAATCTTTCTATACCTATTAAAGCTGGAACATCTTACTGGGCACTTATGGTTTTCCATTACCCAGGTATAAAGGCATATGGGTAGCTGCTGACTAGCCCTGAAGAAGGCATCATCCTTTCCTTGTCTCTCTCAGCCACAGAAATAGTGGCCTTCAGTGTGGAATGGTCTTGAAGAAGGCAAAAATTGTGGGGATGACTACCTTGTTCACCAACTCTCCTCCAGGAGACAGTATAAAAGCAGGAGAGAGGCAAAGAACAACATGAGAGCACCAGAAAGACTCACTATCACAGCAGTAAGTCACCATAAAGAGCTGTTTATACTCAGTTCAATTGAGAGACAATAAAGGAATACATTTTATATGTACTGAATCACAAATCTTGTGAACTCACTGCTGCAAGAGTTTAGGGAAACAAATAGTTGATGCTGTGCCATAAGAAGATACTTAAAAACTGATAGGAATGTAAACTTCATCACCTGCAAGAGTACCTGCAAGAGTGCAATGGCACGGGAGCTTTCAACTGTCATGCTTCAAAGCATGGTACTTAATGAAGGAAGGAAATGCACCAGTGGGTTCCTCCCCTCTCTCCACTCAGTTGGAAGAGTCCCCATTTGCTGACATCTCACAAGATCCAGGGATGTAAACTCTCAGCAGAAGAAGTCACCCCTCCTTTCTGACTTCAGTTAAACATCTGAATGGGAACTGTGCCACTGATATAGGGGCTAGGCAGTAATGCCTTGTTCTAGCTGTGCAACTTTAGCCAGAGTTCAACTCAACCTGCAACAGCAAACAGTACGTGCAGTGGGATGTAACATTCACTCAAGAGATAGGAATTAGTCAAGTGCAAGTGAGAGTTGGGGAAAACTACCCCAAAGAAGGGGAATTATTAACCCTTTCCATAGCCTTCTGGATACAACTAGAAATATGGTTACTGTCCTTTGTCTGAGCCCGGGCCACAGAGGCTGGGGGCTGTAGGACAATTTAGGACTGAAATCAGTGTTGCATAGGTACTCACTGTTCCACCCCTTCTCTTTTCCTCTTGCATGCACATGTACACAGTCTTACAAGTCAGCATCAGTTTAAACTGATCGCTGAACGTTACAGAACAGGCCACGCTGCCTGGGTAGGTAGGTGCACTGAAGCAAGATCCCAGCAGAGGGCAGCAGCTCTTTAAAAGAGAAAAAAATATAAGGGAAAATGATCAGTGGGAGATTCTCCCTCTTCCTACTGGGGTTGGGCAGATTTCCTTGGGGGCTCGTTGGAAACAAAACACCATGCTGGTGCAGGCAGGAAAGATTGCCCATTTGCTCAGATTCTTCAGACTTCCCAAAGCAGGAGCAAATTGCTCAGTGAAAACTTGTGAATGAATAGCAAGGCTTGTGCTAGACCCCAGGACTTCCACATTTGGAACCTCCTGCCACAGGGAGGTTTGTCCAGAAGAAAAACTTTTCCAAACATCAAACTGAACTGCAAAAAAAGAGGAAAAGGCAAGAAGAAGGGGACTCATGACACCAATTATAGCTCCCCAATTCTCTGCTCAGCCTAGGGCATCTTCGAACAGATGAGAGGGCCTGCTGGGAGCCTCCTGCAAGGGAATATGGGCCAGCAGAACACAGATGGAGCACAGAGCACGTTCCACGCCTCCCCTGGACACCTGCAGTTACTCATGCTGTAACAGAACAGCAGTCCTGACAACTCCTGTTATCGTGAGTCTTGTGATACCTGTGGTCTTTCTGACAGCTCCTGTTCCAGAAGTCTTATCAGCTACGAACCTTGGCTTCCAGCAACTAAAACCAGTTCCTGGCTGCTATAAAGAGCTGGAAAAACATGAACCTGTACAGCTCAAAGGCCCCCGTAGACAAGGAACCCTAAGGATTCGGGATTCTCAAGCAAATATTGTGGTCTTGGGGGCAACGCCTAATTTTTGGCCATCCTGGAATAATAATCTTGTCCTAACAAGATGCTTGGTCACCACGTGGAGTCCCTGGCCGTGGCATCACATCCTGCAGCAGGCGGTGCTACAAGACCTGCCCATCAACTACGAATGCAACCCCTCATCAAGACAACTGTAAGATCCAGATATCACAGCATGAGAACATGGGTTTCTGAGGAAATCATCTCCCATCTCTGCTAGGAGGGGTCCTGGTAATATTACCATCCATATGGGAAAACTCCTGGTTCCTTCCCTCCCTACCAAATTACATGAGCCAGTAGACTAGGGAAAGCTGCAAAACTATTGCCCCCAGAAGAACACGTAGGGGTTGGGTCAGACCTGAAGGCTTCATGGGTCCTGGATTGCTGCTAAGGCAGGAGTGGCAAAGTCTGGCCCACGGGCCAGATCTGGCCCGCATTTCCCAGCAGCCCTTGCCTGTGTAGCTGGGGCCAGTTTCCATGGAGACCCCAGAAGCAGCCAGGCTGTGATAGTGTGGGGCTGGGGTTTCCATGAAGACCAGCCCTAGCCGCGCTGGCAGTCAGCAGCAGCACCAGCTTCTTCCTGGTGGGAGCCTGAGGGGGGCTGTGCTGCAGGCAGAAGTAGGGTGGGCTCAGCTGCAGCCGTCTGTGCAGGGCAGGCAGCGGCGCTGCTGGGAGGGGTGGGTACGAGCAATTTTGGGGTGGCTATAGCTCCAAGGCCCCCCTAGTGCTGCCCCTGTTTGCAGGGCATGTGGCAGGGTGGGGAGCTGCTCTGGGACCAGGCTGGGGTCTTGTGATGGTGACAGCATGGTCCAGAGCCGCAATCTGCAACTTGCATGCTCCAGCAGGGGTGTGCAGGCAGCGGATCGTGGCTCTGCCCCGACTCTAGACTACGCTATCACCGCTGCAAGGAGCCAGGGCAGAGCCATTATCTGCTGCCTGCATGTCCCTGCCTAGGGCATGCAGGCTGCAGATCGTGACTCTGGATCATGTTATCGCTGCCACAAAATCCCATCTGGGCTCTGGAGCAGCTCTTTACTCTGCCAGTGTGGCTGGGGCTGGTCTCCATGGCAACCCTGGCCTCATTCTATCACTGCAGCTGCTGCTGGGGCTCCATGGAAATTGGCCCCAGCCACACGGGCAGGGGATGTTGGGAAATGGAGTCCGGCTGGATCCACCATTTTGCCCACCCCTATGTTAAGGAGATTTCAGGGCTGGAGGCCGAGTATCTCTGTGGTAGATCATCCAAGCCTGGTGTTAATCCTGCAGAAGTGTTGTTCCAGGGCAAAAACACCCCAGAACTGTCCTCAGCCTTGCCAGAAAACAGGCAAGCTGCCTTAAATCTGGGCAGCAGGAGAGCATGCAAAACCAGAGACAGGTGAAATCCAGTGCACAGTGGTTAGACAGTGCACAAGGCAAGGAGACAGACTGGTAGGGGCTAATTAATAGTTAAATGATAGGCCCCAGTTGTCCTCTGTCACCTGTTTTGCTGGAACAGACAGAAGAATCAGAGCTTGCAGTAGAGGAAAGGGAGGAAGAGGGCACGACTCATACTCTAGACTTGAATGTTGTAGGGTGGGTTGATCAACTAAAGGACTTAAAGGCAGAACTTAATTTGCTGCAGCCAGTGGGACAAGCTGTGTTGAGTTCAACTAAATACAGTGCAGACAGCAGCTTTACCATCCAGGATTTCAAATGCAGCAGGAGGAATCAGCAGAATCAACCATTTCCACTTAGGGCGGGCACATTTCCGCATACATTTAGAACATACAAAAACAACAGTAAAATAACTACAGTCACAGGCCACGTGGCCAATTTACAAAACACCTGAAGTTAGCCACATGTAGGCAGCCCCTCTGTGTAATCAACATGTTTGAAGCAAACAAAGAGGGAATCATATTGTCAATGCAGTGACACCATACTTGGGGGCTGGACCTGATGGTCTGCAAGGCCCTGAACAACCTATGAATACCTGGAAAGTGACACTCAGGACATTCCTGATAGGGATACAGTTTAGGTCAGTATATCCATTTCAACTGTGAATGGGCCAAAGCCAGGAAATTTGATCTTCCAAAATGGTTAGGGGATGGTTGGATCCAGGGTTTCCAGACCCTTCCTGACAGCTGTGCAGTGCCGCCTTAGCTAATCCCGTTGTGGTTTGTTTTCTGTGGAAGTTGTGGTTGTTGTCAGCTATCGGGTTATGCCACCATAGACCTTACTGGTGTGAGTTTCAAACATCTGCATGGGCACATCTCTCCTAGCCATCGCCTGTCTCCAGTTTAAATGGACCTAAAATGGATAATTACTAATAAGAACCTGAGATGGGCCCTAGCCCAAACCCTGGATCCAAAGACACCCAGACTTTGGAGGTGTTTGAAGTCTGAATGCCAGTCTCTGAGATGCCTGCAAGAGGTCCACGTTCCAGCTGTGTTGTATGAAATGCAACATCACCTCAGGACAAGACAACTAACTATGCATGATAGACCATCTCTTAGGATGTATTTGCATCCCCTAAAAGGTAATAAATAAGGTTAATTTGTCAAGATGCCAGTGAGAGGTGGGTCTAAATTTCCAAGGATATGAAGGAATATAGGTCTAGAGATGCACACAATTCTTGAGTTACATACAGGGTAATGGGTCCATTATTCATAACTGGTGTGGTTTCAGCTTCCTTGATGCTGAAGAATATCTTTAATGCACTTCTTGAACAGCATGGTTCTTGTATTGAACCGTATGTGGTGAACCTTGCAGAGTCAAGGTCTGGAAAAAAACATCCATTTATAAGTAGGTCACATCTTGGCTGCCTCAAGGGCTGCTTGTTATCCAGCCTTTCCTTCTTCTGTAAGGGTCTCCCAAGGGCAGATAACCTCCTTTGCGGAGTCCTTGCTAACTCGGTGGCAGTCCTCCTCTTCCTCCTCAGAGTCTATTGGATAGATTCTGCTCTCCAAAGGAACATCCGTTTTTATCTGGAAGAAGCTGTGTTGCAAAATGAAAACTTGTCACGCATAAGGCACTTTTTGAAGTGCTCTCCGAGACAGCGAATGCGCAGCATGGAGTTTGGCTTTGAGTCTTTCTATCACTCCAGCCCCAAAGCTCAAAGCAAAAAAAACTCAGAGGCACAAGCCCACACAGACAGTAAAGAAAGTGTGCACACCAACCCCTTTGAAGAAGGAAAAAAAAAATCTGCTGTGCAGCACTTCCCCAACTCCTCAGTCCCCAACCAGATGGGTTAAGAGGTCTTAAAACTTGTCACTCTGATTTTGCAATGTGGACTTATTTACTTACCCAGTAGCAAAGATGGACCAAAAGAGGTGATGGTCGCATCTGGATTACTTTTTGGCTAGAGGACAAACCAGAACTTGCCCAGGGGATTCAGAGAGGTGGAACTTCCAGACCAAAATCTCCTGGCTCAGAAACTGTGTTTAATGATATTTTGGTTGCAAATGGTGGAACTTTTGCAATCATTTCCCAAGGTCCCAGCCACCTTGTTATCACTTTCTCGCTCATTAACTTGGGCCATATCTGAACCTGCTCTAGGGAAAGTCCCTTTCTAGTTTTGGAACTAAAGTTATATACACAAGCATGTTTAGAAATTCAAGGCCACTCTACTCTGATATAAACTTACCATCTCTACTTGTGGTACTTTATTCATAGGAAAAACCAAAAAAAAAATCCAAAAAAAACCCCTCCCTCTGAAAAAACCCAACTATTAGCGCTGTATCTTTCCAGTAACGCTGCCCCTTCTTCTCCTGAATGCCTAAGTTGCTGATCAGCAGACGCAAAAAGTGCTGGAGCCAATACTCCAAGCCATCATTTGAAAAGGGGGTGACTGAAAACAGATAGCACATAAAAGGAAAAAGCTCAGAACGTGTAATTTTCCATTAAACTACAACCTCCCCCAAACCCCCCCCCCCAACCACAAAAAACCCAACCCTTTGTGGGCCTTTCCCTTGCTTCTTCTTGCCAGGAGATGCACAAGATCAGAGAGACCTGAATTTGAGGAGTTTGGAGCAAGGATTCAGTCTTCTGGGAAACATTCAGACTGTCTCCCTCACTCCAACCACAGCTGGATGCAAATCTCTAGGTCTCTCCCAGGTACTCAAAAGCCCCCACCAGTAAAGGCATTCAGATGCAGGTAGTGACACTAGAAAATGTTAACAGCTGCCCTCAACCACTGACCTGGAGGAAGTTCATGTTGCCTTCACTCAGGCAAAACAAAATGCTGATTACGTGCCTGTTGTTTGCTGAGAGCTGAAAGGAGGCCTACTGCCCAGGGCAAGGCCCTTGGAGAAGCTAACGATGTTCAGCTGAGGAAGTTTGCTGGCGATGGACCGCATAGGCAAAAGCTGGGGCACAGAAATGGTCGGCAGCTCTGCCCGGGCAAGGGTGCAAGGCATCGGGAAGTGGAAGAGAAACAGCTGTGTGTGTGGCTGGGAAGGGGCACAGACAGGACGGACTGGCGACACAGCTTGGAAACCACAAGCAAGGAAACAGCTGGCGGCTCGTCGTTCCCACTGCATTGAGGATGACCGGACTGCGCCTCCGTTGTTTGTAAACGGAAGGCATCAAAGAAGTACTCGAATTGTGCAATCGCTCTCTCCCCAAACTAGAAAGGCCCCAACTCTTGGCTAAGTGTGTAGGGCGAGGGATCACAATCTTCCTGAGAAGCGGGAAATGCCAGCACCCCCTTTCCCAGCAGGCAAAATGAGGCAGAGAGAGGACTCTCCGTGGTTGCACTAGAATCGCCGTGGAGAGCGTCAAATCCCATGCTCCTAACCCCAGGCCGCTACGGCATCCTTCCTGTGGAGCAAGAGATGACCTGTGTCGTGGGCAGGAGGGATGCTGAGACAAGGGCAAGGGGAGGAAAGGCTCACAGAGCCGCACGTGAATCAATTGAGCGCGGCCCAGCCCAGGCCGGAGAGCTCTGCTGGTATCACTATGGCTGCAGAGGGGTTGTCCCAGGCCACGGTTTGCCCTTCCTCGCTTGCAGGGCTGGGCCGTGGCAGGACTTGAACTTGTCCGGTCCACCACAAGAACAGGCAAATACATGAGCCATCAAAGCCCCCGTCGGCAGAGGGGAGCCCCCATGCATCTGTATTTGCTGCAGAGTGAGCCCCAGCCAAAGCCCCCGTCTTTGGGTTCAGGCCTGAGCCTAGCGCAGGTTGGGAAGGTCCCCAGCCACCCCCACCGGCCCTGCTCCCTGGAGGCGCCCGGGCTCTCACCTACCAGCTGTGGGGACGAGCGCTTCGGCGACGCTGCAAGCCAGGCACTGAGGGGACACAATCGCCAAAACGGCCTGAAACCAGGGCTGAGAGCGAGCCCCACATGCTGGAGAGGCACAACCCCCCTCGCAGAGCTGGCACCGTCCTTCCCGTAGCTCCGCCTCAGGCGCAAAGCTGAGGAGAAGGTGCCGGGCCCACAGGTGCGGCCTGTTAATTAGCTCCCAGCCTGCACAGTTGGGGGGTGGGGAGGGCGGCTGCTCTCCACTTATTTCGTGGCCGCATCCCTGTCTACCCCTGTTCTGTGCTCTTGGAGGCATTGCTGCTCCGTAATTAAGCACCGAGGAGGATAATGGCACGAGGGGCCCAGCGCCCGCATGCAGAGACCAGCATCAGAGGGTCCCCCCCAGGCTGCCCGTCTGCCCAGAGGAGCACGGTGCAGGAATACTTACTTGGCCACTCTCTTGGAGGTCTGCTGCAGTTGCTGTTCCAGGTCATCCAGGGGCTGGACCTTCCCGTGAGGCACTGCCGGGCACTTTGGTGAGAGAGTCGCAAACACTGGCGAGTTCAAACATCCCCGTTTCAAGAACCTGCTGAAGGACAAGCTCATCCGGGATTTGGGAGGCACCTTGGTGTCCACATGCCCAGGCACCTGGCTGTTGCAAGGGCCCGATTCAGAGTCTGTGGAGATCTCAGTGCTCTCCGTGATGGAAGGGAAGTGGCTCGAGTTGCACCTGTTGGGTTCCCACTTGGTTTCCAAGCCGGGGGCACTTTCTAGAGCTACGCTAATGGGTGAGGGGCAGATGGTGCTGTTTGGCAGAGCAACGTGCCCTGGGGATTGGAGAGGAAGGTTAGTTGGGAGGAGGCAGGAGGAGGATGGATTTGATGGTGATGGAGGAGCACAGGTACCGGTGTACACAGCCAGGTGAGGGACTGGAGCTGTGAACTGACACAACTGCAGGGAAGAAAAGGAGACACTTTAGATCAGCAAAAGCAGCCGGCGAGTCACAGGACACAAACCCCTGAGACTCTGACTCCTCTATCTGGCTCCCAACTGGAAATAATCCCCTCCGAGACTGGAAGCCCTTTGGACTGTATACCGTACTGGTGCTAGTAAGTTATAGAAATGAGAAGTGTAAGATCCTAGCTAGCTAGGTAGGTAGATTGTGTTTGCGATAGTGCCCTCTACAGACTAGCCCCAAGACAGGATAAAGGCTCTAGTACGAATTTGCTCAACTTTAGAGGCTTGCGTTCTCACGTCTAAGAGACCTGCCCTCCCTGTATGAGATGTATATAGTATTGTGGGTGTTGCTGGATGAATTGCAGCAGGGACATGCTATCTGTCTGGCACTGATTCACCCCTATGCATGTTTACTATGTCATATACATGAGGATGAATATTAAGAGCTCTCCAGTAAGCAAATGCTTGGATAGCAAAACAGGTTTATGGCTTGCAGCTGGTGTCCTGGTCAGGCTGATGAATATTTAGGCTACAATTTTCCAGCATAGGAGGAAAAGGAGGCAGCCTGTAAGGGAAAAGTAACTGTCTGACATGGGGACTAAAGCATGCATTACTCATCTAAACTGATCTCCTCTGGTCTAACAGCAGCTAACTGGTCTCTCAACCGAGGAGCACATAGGACTTGGTTCCAGAAAGTCCCCCCGCCTGAACAGCAGGTAGCCAGTGAGAGAGTCCATGATGTCTTTGGGGCACAAAAAGCAAAAATACAGGCAAAATGTGGAGAGACAGGTAACAGGTAGGAGAAATAACCCAGAAAAAAAGAGAGAGGAGGAGAAAGAACAGGAGAAAGGAAAGATGACAGCACCTAGGCCAAACTACTGCAGTCCTCACACAGCAGAGGCTAGATCCTACTGCCTTGGTAAAGTAAGGGCTCAGATCCCTGCAAGACATGGGCTTGAACTCAATACAAAGGGCCCCAGGGCTCTGGGTCCAGTTGGACCAGGATCTGAACTTGTATTCGAAGGCCATCAGTAACAATCTGAGCAAATATCGCAAGCTGGGACCAATCCAGACCCAGACTTTGAAATGTGAGCTCCTCGGTAAGACCGGTCCCAGTTGCAGAGATCAGATCTGCAAATGGGTCTGATGGCTCCAAAGTGTATTTGCCTGGAGGCCTGTCTCTCAGAGTCAGCTGTGGGGCCTAAGCTCTCTTTTCATCCTGAGATCACTAAGCCTTTTGTGCAGGATGCAGGGGGAGACCTTTGTCTTCTCTTCAGGCAAAAATGAAGCACAGAAGAGACTTGTCCAGGAGAGAGCCCTGCTCTCCAGCAGATTCCTAGCCTGCTGCTCCGTGCTGCCTCCCATAGGAGTAGAGATGGCTGCAATACTGTTCAATCAGGCTGACTACCGTCTGTGTCGCCAATTGTGTCTCTTGGTCAGCCGATGCTTGCAGCGCAGGAGAGCTGCCAGTTTTTCTTCACTACAAAACTGAATTATCTTTTTTTCCAGGGATACAACAGTGCTCTCTTCAGAGGATCTGTGCACTGGGGAAAGGACAGTGCCTTCCTCACTGCCCCGCTTCAGAGACAGAGGCAAGAGGCAGATATGTGGTTTTGTTCTGGCTGGTTGCCCGTGCTGGGCTCCTCAACAATAAGAACAACTACAGGTTATCATCATATATATCTATATATCGACAGATCTATCTATGCATATAGAGATATATTTATATAGAGAGATCTATAGCTAGATCTATATATATGATAACATGTAGTTGTAGCTAGATCTAGCTATATATATATATATATCTAGATATAGATATCTAGATATGGATATCTAGATAGCTATATATATGATAACATGTAGTTCTTATTGTGTGTGTATGAATATATATATATATATATTTTTCCTCTCTTTCTCAGTATACACACACACACACACCCACACCCCCTCTACCAGAGGGAAGACTGAGAAAGAGAGAAAAAAAATAGAAAACGAACCTCCTGGAAGAACAAAGGAAAAAAGAGCTTGAGAATGAGAGGAAAACATCAAATCCCTGACAAATACTGCAGCCACCCTGACAACAATGCAACATTTTTCACAAGAGGCGAAGATGAGAGGGATCCTGCTCTCTGCCTTTCTGGCTGGGGTGGTGTGAGGCGCTCGGAGGACTTTCTGACAAGCAGAAGTCACCTTCATGACCTCTCCCATGTGTCTCAGTGACATTTTGGAAAACTTGCTTCTTGTTTTGAATGGCCCCCAACAACTCCCTGTCATACTTCCATCCTCCCCAGTCCCTCACATTGGCCTTAAATGTCTCAGGTCTCCAAGGAAATGGGTGATGGTTGATGCAGCCACCTGTAAGAGCAGCTGGAATTGCAGAGGACAACCCGACACTTCTTCTGTCCAGTGCGTGGACAACATCAGGCAGGAATGAGAGAATAGCCGGGGAACTCATTTCATGTCAGAGGCCAGGGCCAAGCATGGCAGGAGGGAAGGAGCTGATACTGTCAGTGGCAACAGGGAGTTCAGTAAGTGTCAAAGACCTACCTCCACGAGTGAGCAGGAAGAAGCAGTAAAATATACAGACAGAGGAGCTATCAGTATCAGCCCACCTTTGGGAAATCACTACTTCCCTGAAAGCCTGCACATCTCCAGCAGAGCTGCAACCTAGACAGAATTAGTTTACCTGTAAGCACGTCCAAAGACTGGTCAGAAGCAGGATCAGGAGGATAGCTAGGTCCTAATTCATCATCCATTTGTATCAATGGAAGAATTTCTATTGATTTCAGTGAATGCTGGATATAGCTCGGGCAGACCACTGCAAAGGATTCAACTTGCTGATTTCATTACAGGGGTTAGTTGTAATCAAGGAATCTTGGAAAACTATAATGCCTTGTTATTAAAGCATATAGTGAGGCTGGGACCTTGATTTTGGTAATGGATGGCATAGCCAGGCTAAAATCTGACTTGAGCATGCAGATGTGATGACTGCTCAACAGACTGAGGACAGAACCAGAGACTCCAGGGCTAGAAACACACATGGCTACATCTTGAGCTAAAAAATTAGGCTTTTTCAGCTGGGTCCCTAACAGTCTCTCATCCTCCACAGCAGGAAACCTAGAGCACATGCTCATCAGAAGGTGACACAGGCTTGTGAAGATAACTTGCCTATGGTTTTATCTTAGAGTACACCTCTTAGGTTTCCCCAAAAACTTACAAATGAATCTGTGCCAGCAGAAATAAAGATAAGCTCAACATTTAAACAAAAATATTAAAGGTAATGGCCCCAACTCCCAAAAAAATATATGCATGGCAAAGAGACAATGAAAGACAAACACTCTGCTCTTTTTCACTTTCTACATTCATTTTTATTAGACAGGTGAGCAGAAGCAAGGAATGCATGGGAATGATGGCAGAGAAATAAAACCAAGCAGCACTCCGAAATCCAACAAGAACAATTAATTTCTGGACTAATACAATATAAACTCCAATTTACATGGACTAGCTTTGATGTGAGCCAGTGATATTAGCCAAGAGAAGCAATGTCTATGCAAGGGTGGGGACTATGCTGAATGTGGGAAAAACAATTGATGCAGATGAGAAATAAAATCATACCAAGAAACCAAATAAACATTGCAGCAGGTAGATTTCTTGGACCCTGTGTCACTGCTGCTGTTTGTACCACAGCAGTGCCCTCCAGGAGACAGGAAATCTCCCATGTTCACTAGTCTCATTTAGCTTTTGGGAGATTCAAATAGCCTTCGACCAAGTCTGCCAAGTGCTAAGCACCCTCAATAACCATTTAAACTAAAGGCTGCTGACCATGCTCAGCCCCTTACAGAACTGATCCTTCCAAGCGTAACCTGACTTCGAGGATTTACAGCCTCATCCTGCTCCTATCGAGCTTCCTCCCTGCTGAAGGCAACAGGCGCTTTAGCATTAACATCTTTAGGTGCCGGAGCAGGGCCTTAGCTGGCAGGCCTTAAAATCAGAGTAGAGGCCACGTTACTTATTTTGCTTCAGCTCCTCTAGGCAAGACGAACAGCCGCTGACACCAGTCGTGAACACCTCAAGCACTGCAATGAGGTATCAGAAGAGGAGCTCTTCTTATTCTTCAGTGACACCAAAAGGGCTCCCAGGAACCACCAGACTGGGTGAAGGCAGGGGGCTCTCACCCTGTATCCTGGCCCGCTGCTTCAAAGGCGGGCACAAAAACTGACTGAGGAGGCAGTTAGGGAATAATCAACCCGTCCCCTGTTAGTTACAGGCTGGTTCTTGACCTGAGACATGAGGGTTTATAGTCTGTCTACGAATCTTGGGGTTTTTTCTTATTCTAATCCTGGATGTTCCTGGATCAGTTCTCTGATATTTCTCAACTGTCTGCGACATATTGTACTGCAGCATGTTCTGATCTGCACGGTCCTAGGTCTGGCATCACAGGAGGGGATGCTATGGGCTCAGACCCCCATCCCGGGGCTGCAGTAGTGTGGTATTACAGTTTAAAATGCGAGTGGAACCTGGCACTATTTGGACGCGTATACGAGGGGTTTGAAAAGAGCCAAGTGCACATCCACAGGACTTGGGTTCCTCTTTCTTGGGCTCCTTTAAAAATCTCAGCCTAGCCTTTTCTGGCATGGTTTCAGAGGTAATGCACTCTGCCTCCAAGGACAGGGTTCATTAGGCTGGTTTAGCACTTGAGTGCCAAGGGACCTGCAGCTCAGTGGGATCAGTAAAGACATCCCTTTGGCCCCCTCTAGGCCCGGTATGTTAGGTCCCGCTTTCACCTTGCAGATATAAAGCCCCCAGATGGAATGAAGGTGACTGGGCACCACCATCCCCATCACCTTGTACCTTGAGAAAGCACCTCAAGATATAGCCCAAAGTGATAAACCGCCAGGAGCACTGGATATATATATGGTGCCTAACTTCTCTCCCTCATGTTCCCCTGTGGACTGTTGCACGGTACCTCCTGTGTCTCTGCTGTGCACCTCCAAGGGGTTTTCCTGGCTGGCTGGGGCCAGATGGGGCTGCGGCACGATGCTCCTAAGAAACAGTAGTCGAACCTGTGATTTTGTTTTGCTGTCCCTGCCACTGCGACTCTGGGAGCTGGACCATGCTTGCTCCCAGTCAGTTGTGTGGCTGTACAATGGCTGCAGCTGGCATGGCTCCATCCCTCATGGCTGAAACTCATGCCCCGATGAAGAAAAGCAAATCCATTTCTGCAGTCCTTTATGCATCCTCCACCCTGTTCTCAGTTACCTCCTGGTCCAACCGCTTCTCGCTTCCAGCGAGGGCGATGGATGAGCAAGACCAAAAGGGTTCAAGCTCAGCCTCTGTCCATTTCCCATCCTCCCATAAATTCTTTCACCTTCCCCTGGCCAGGGCTTTCCATGAACCTCATCACATCCCACTGACCATCCAGCCCCAGGGGCTTCCCAACAGGCCTCAAGGAAGTGGGTAGCTCAGATCTGAACTCCCCCTCCTGCCCCTCTCCGTGTCCCCAAGGGGAAAAGGAAAGTGAGACTATGCTATTTTACAAGAAGCTGAAATCAGTAACGATGTCTCCCAAACACGGCGGCTTCTACACCACTGGGCTACAAGCCAGATAACGCCTGGAAACTACCACTCGCTCTTTTAGAACAACAGGAAATAGCAGAGCAGGAAAAAGACAAGACAAATGTGAGTCAGGGTTAGAGAAAGGGAACCTTCAACCCTGGCTGTGTCTCCCAAACCCACACACCTGCTCTCACGAGGCCTGGGCAGAATTCATCACATGAATGTGTGACAGAGCGACAAGGACTGACCCCCTGCATGGGCTGTGGGCCCCAGGCTGCCTGCAGGATTGGGAGGTCCAGCTGCCATTACAAGGAACCGGGAATGCAAACCACTGTGTGCCTTTTAAAAGGCTTGATCTTATTGCTTTGGCTAGAAGCTTCCCCCCTCCTGCAGCCAAGCACAACTGCAGCTCCCCAGCGCAAACGCTGCCATCTCCTGTGGCTGCAGGGTGCTAGGTGCTTGATGAGGGGCTCTGGCAGACGGACCAGAGTCGTATACCCCGGAAGGGAGGACCAGCGCACCCATGCCCCCTGCCCACACCTTGCTGTGCTCCCAGCTCAGACCTGTCCCTGACCCACAGCTCTGGCTAGAAGTCCCCCTTGAACCTCTCGGAGCAGGGTGGGAGGAGGTACTTCTGCCTTGCGCACTGGCACACATTTGCCAACGTGTGGCTGGAGCAATGCAGCCAGACCTGGGGCAAGCTGGAGCAACCGGACAATACTGCTGCCCTGCGGATCGTGGTGCATGGGGGGAGTAATCATGGAGCATGGGCCCTGCCGCGTGATGCACGATGCATGCAGCCAGCTCCCTGACTCCAGCAGCACTTTCATGCCTAACATACCTGAAAAGTGACATCGGCTGCTGCGGGTGCCATGGTAACGGGGAGAAAGGGGTCTGGAAAGGTAAAGCAGCACTGACACCTTCAGGTAGGGGAGAGGAAGCTCAGCCCTGGGCTCGTCTTGTCTTTTCCCTGCATCCTGCTCTAAAGGATCTGGAGCCTACTTAACAGGCTGCTTCTGTGTGAGCTGGTTCCTACGATCCAGCTTGCTCATAACCTGGGTGATGTCCACAGCGGTGGCTGCTTCTCGGGCTTTGGCCTCTTCCTCCAGCTGCCTCAGGATGACAGGGCTGGGGCTGGAGCGGAGCTGACGGCGCGTGAATGAGAAATTGGAGCTGAGGAGAGAGAGAGAGAGAGAAGCAGGGAGTTACAGGGGTGGTAGGAGATGAGCTTGAGGAGAACAGAGCCCATCGCCAAAACCTTTTCCGAGCCCCAGGTAACCTGCTCGGTGCAGAGGATTTGTCTGTCTGCTTTGCTCAGAGAAAACATGCTCAGGGTGCTTGCTGCAGACATTTCAGTGCAACCCAACCCAAGCCCCTTCCTGCACAGCAACTCCCCTGAGCTCTGTCAGAGGCCACGTGGGACCCCGGCCCCAGTCCTTGATCTGTGCCTGGGAGTGACCTTCTGCCGGTGACCTGGCTTGCTGAGCCCAGTGTGGCTCACCTACAGGATATGCTGAGCAGGGGTTTCCCATTACTGTGTCCTCCCACCCCATCTTCATACCTCCCCAGGAGTTCATGGTCAAAATACGTCATGCAGCCTGGTCATGAGAGCATGCAGGATCATCTACGGTCACAAAAGTGACTTGGCTGGGAAAAGCAATCAGAACTCATGGTAGAAGTGATATCGTTTATTAGAGCAAGTAGATTTTTGCACAAAAAAATTCTTTAATTGCAAACTTTCAGGCACAAAAAATTGTCTGGGAAAGGCTTCTCTGTGGCAAAGGCAGCCCAAAGACATTAAAGAAGCGGGCCCAGGTTGGATTTCACCTGCAAGGGACCACTTAGCACACTTCTCATTCAGGACGGTCCCACTCTGCCACCCTCCTTCACTGCGAGTTTGCACTTTACTTTGGGCATTGTCCCAAGGAAATAAGCAGAGGCATTCGCACACTGCGATAACTAAGTGGGAGAATCTGGCCAATGTAGGCAAAATGGTTGTACAATGGCAGGACGCCCCTTTGCATGTCTCAATTAAAATGTTGGTCTCGAGTCTGAATTCACTACCATGAATTGTGCAATGAAATGAAGCACCAGACCCACAGATGCATCTGGCTCTTCACATCAGCCCCGCTCCAACAATAACTGCCCCGTTACACTTCATTCCGCCTTGTGCCCAGGATACATATTTGTTTTTCCTCCTAGATCAAGCAACACAGTCATTCACTGAGCAGCAGGCACATGCGCCGAATCCCCCGCGCATCCAGATGGCCCCCAGGTAGAGCAGAAATACCAATTAGAGAAACAGCCCTGTTCAATTAAATCCCTGAGGCTATGCATGAGGTGTGCATGTAGTGCCTGGCACAGCGACTGCTAGTACCCGACCAGGCAGCACCAAGGCTGAGAATCTAAGATTTCATAGATTTCATAGACATTAGGGCTGGAAGGGACCTTGCAAGATCATCGGGTCCAGCCCCCTGCCCAAAGGGCAGGCAGTCTGCAGGGGACAAATGATCCCAGCAAGATAGGCATCCAAGTGTTTCGAGATGAAACGCAGGGAGGCTGCTTGGCACCATTCAGCCAAGGGTCTCAAAGGCACTTCCAAATGGTGCTTGTCTGGGATTATACCCAACCTCTGAGATGGGAGATAAAATGCCTGCCTGACAAGGGGATACAATGAGAGAGAAAATATGGCCCTGATACGTAACGGGGTCTTGTACCTCTAAGTGCTGTGCTGATCGGGAAAAGACAAATGCAGAATTTGGTGGCTTATGGAAACCTGTGTATTTCAAAAGATAACGAGGCCAACGAGATCGGGCCAGAGACATGCAACTCAGCTGCCAAGTGGACAGCAGCAGAAAGGCATCTTTGTTTTGGGTCCTAGAGATGGGACTGCCAGTAATAAAAGACCCCTTTCCATGACAGTGGTCAGTACCTAGCTAATATTGGGCCCAAGCTTGAACCACAGTTCTCAAGGGGAGCTTGGTGGGATCAGCGGGGGTCATATGTCCTAAACACTGAGTCTGTGCCCTGAGCAGATGGAGATAATTGGAGAGATTGTTTTTTTTAAAAAGCATTCATCCAGACCTCACCCTGCCCCTTTGGGTGTTTGACTTCAATAGCAGCAATTACTCTCATGCTGCTGGCTGCACCCCCCTCACCACAAGCTGCATCTTACAGCAACCTAGAGCCACCTCCTTCCACGCTGTTGGTGAGGCATGTTGTGCCGGGATGGCCCTCCCTGGCAGTTCAAGCAACAGCTTTGATGTCCTCGATGACACACTCTCCACTTCCTTTGCTCTTTCCATGATGGAACCGTGATCAGCCACAATGGAAACACGTATAAAACAATCAGCCTTTGATGTGAGGCACTAGCCTGTTTTCCTGTCAGCGTACCCGAGATGTCGTCTGAAGTGTGAATGTTACATCCCTCCAGCAGCTATGTGAAAACATGAATGCATCTGCCAGGGTTACAAGCAACCTCTCCAGAGCTGCAGCCTGGAAGTGTCTGACAAATGCAGCTGTGGCACTCAGAGAGTGGCCACATCTGCCCATGGGGGAAAAGAGCCTGCCTGATTATTAGTGACTTGTATTACAGCTGCACCTACGAACCCCTCGTGGACCAGAAAGCTGCTGCACAGCAAGGGACGTGAGCAACCAGACGGTGCCACCACTGTAGAGGAGACAGAAGATGCTGTCAGGGTGTCAAACTTTGCTTACATCTAGGGGAACCTGGGATCCGTCTTTTCTCCTCGGTGACACTGAGAAAAAACCTTGTGCCTTGTGGTGTCAGGAAGGACCTGGTCCAAGACCACTGAAGTTGGTAGGAACGTTTCCCTGGATTTCAGTGGGCTTTGGTGCAGGGCTCAGAGAGTGCACGAAGCAAAGCTCCTCCACACTTTCTTTCAGAGGGCAATCGTTGTCTTTCTGGCTCTGACACTGCAACTGCATTGGACTGAGCTGTCTCCGCAGGCCATGAAAACTCTTCTGCCAGCTGATCTGAGATCATAAAATATGCAAAGGATCTCCTGAGTTCATCTAGTGCAACCTCCAGCCTAAGGCAGCATCATCCCTATCCAAATCTATCCTCTAACCTCTTACCAAATCTACACAGTCAAGCCTGACACAACCACAAGACATAAACACCTCAACCTGACACAGGTAAAGCAGGGGAGGGGGCACAGCGGCCAACATCCAGCTGCTGCAAAGATTATTAAAATAGGTTCAAAAGATCCAAGGAAGAGGGCCATGACCCCTACTACAAAGGAAGACAGAAACCCCCAGTCTGAACCAAGCTAACCATGGGGTAAAATTCCTTCTTGCCCCCAGAAATGGTGAGTGGTTTGACTCTGAACGGAGGGGCAAGACTCTTCAATCAGGACCCTCTGGGTTTTAGTCCCAGCAGGAGAATTGGCACAGCCAGTGCAATGGCTGAACCTGATCTGCAAAGTCACACAGAGTCAGACTCCCAGTGTCCTCGACCTGTTGTCAGCCTTTGCAGCAATACCAGGGAGCATCAGATGCTACTTGTCTGGCATTTCTTGGTGTCAGCATCTACCTCAGCACTGGGCTAGGGAAATGACAGTTGTTCTGTAAGCACCTGGTGGGATGTGGGCAAGACCCTGTTACCCCTTGGTGTGTGGCACCCTTCTGGGAAAGCAAAGGGGCAGATCAGAGATCACAGCCTTTCCAAGCACACGCCGTAAACAAAAAGGATTGCTGCTACTGCCAACTAAGCTCTGACTGCACATGAGCCCTTTCCAAAGGGCTCCCAAACAAGCAAAGTAATCAGCCTCTAAGCAAGGCTTCTTCTCTGTGAAAAGTCCACTTTAATTAAGCAAATATCTAAATCACAGTAATTTTGCTGCGACTCAGGCACTTTGCCTCTTTGGTAAAACAGAAAGCACGTAACCCACAATTACACCCCATTACACTTGCCTTTTTCTGACTGTCTGCTGTGGCACAATGGCCTTGTCCAACATCTCCTTGTAGGTCGGAGACTTTAAATAGCGACCATAAGAGTCCTACTGGGGGGAAAAAGGGAAACTGGTAGTTATGGATTGCAAACACCCTAATTAAAATCATCTCCAAGTACAGCTGCTCAGGAGCCAGTGAGGCTGGGAAATGGATAATCTCACCCAGCAGCCCAAGAGAATTCCCTTGTATCTTGCAGGCAAATACATTTATTAAAACCAGTGGCCTTTCATCTTGTGGTAGACTTCCCAAGGCAGAAATCAGAACAAAAGTGGTTTGATGAGTTTCACTCAGGACCGAAGAGTCTCCCTGTTATGACAGTATGAAGTCATTTAGACTACAAGAGTCAACGCTGGGCCATTTCCTTTGTCGGTGCAAATCAGCAGAGTTCTGTTGACTTTGGTGCTATTTTATTGTACCTGCAGATTTGGCTCACATGCCCCTTTTTCCAAAGTGGGCTCTCTAGATCTGGAGGGAGGGATTTCAGCTAGCGCATTTTTTTTTTTTACTCCTGTAGCCCTAGGAAACCCATTATCCTCCATGCATTAACTATATCTGTCTGGGAGCTGACACGGTTCCTCAGCTTATTTTCAAGATACAGTGCCAAGTTCTTGATACAAGGGTCACACACTGGTATCACTGCATCTGATACGCTACACAATTATCGATGAAAAACGGGAGGGCTACACTATGTGCGCCACCCTGTGCTGACCTGCTGTGAGACACAGAATGAAATAAAAGATGGCACTTTAAAGGATATCACAGCTAGAAAAAACAATAACGATGACCAGCACATGACATTTCAAAGTGCTGCACAAGCTGGTTACGTAAGTCCCACAACAGGGCTGAGAGGTAAAAGAGGATCATCCTCTCCATTTTACAGAAGGGAATGGAGCCATGGAAATGTCAAGTGATTTGTCCAGGGCCACAAAGTGGTTCAGTGGCAGGGGCAGGATTTGAATTCAGGACACCCTCACTCAGAACCTAAAGCTCTGTTTTCTCCCTGGAGCCCAACAGCCCTCCCAAACGCACTCGCTTAAACCAGTTCCTTCTTTATGCAAGTCTGCAGGTTATTTTCGGTCAAACAGAAGTCACTTGGGAGCCAGAAAAGGCAGCACATAAACATGTCCAGGCACAGGTAATCCCTACTGGCTTGTAAACAAATGACAAACCTTTTTCATCAGCATATAAATATGAGTCTGAGCTGCATCCAACACATAGCGATGAGGGTGCTTGAGACCTTTGACCGTGATGCCCATGGTCGTGCCATCAATGTTAATCCAGCGCCTCGCTCCTGGAGCCAGGAAGAGTCTGAAATCAGAAACAGCCAGTCACTACTGGTGTTAATGAGCAGAGAACTCATGAAGTCCAACCCCGGTGTTCACAGGCAAATCCTGTGCCTTTGTATCATAATAAAGAGTCATGACAATATTTTGTGACCTGGTCCAAAGCACATTAAAACCCACATGAGATGTCCCACTGACTCTGCAATGTTTCTCATCCACAGCTTGCAAAGCAGGTCACAAGTGTTAACTAACTAAACCTTGCTAAATGGCAGCAATGTCTGGATGGTCTTGTCACCCTTCTCGAGTCAGAATATGAGAATGGAAGTTATAGACTGAATCTAGGGCAGAACCCAGGTCTTTTGGCCCCAACTCTTGTACCTGTATTGACAAGGCTGGCCCTCTTCCTTATATCAACCCCATGAGCTGAGAGGGGAAGAAAGTTTTACAGCACATTTGTTCTTTGATCTAAAGGAGATTCCTTCACCAGCGGGACGATAACACATCTGTGCCCTGTGACTGCTCACACAGAAAGTCCTCAGCAATGCAGTATTTATAGGGGATGGCAAATGCATGTCAAAGATTTAGAGGCTGGATGCCTACCTGGCTGGACTCATTTGAGTCCCGTTTTTGTTTTGGGGGTTTTTTGTGTTCTCCCACCCTGGCGGGGGGTTGGGCTAGAAGATCTACTAGGTCCCTTCCGACCCTAAATCTATGAAACTATGAAACTATGATGTCACAAGTCTCAGGGAGGTGTTAGAAAACCACTGTATCTAAATGCTCACTTGTAGATCTCTTCTGCTTTTTCTTTGACCTTGGACTGGTCTCCGTACTTCAGATCCTCACAGGCTTCCCAGAAACTCAGATTCTCTCCTGTATCATGAGGAATTAGTGACAAGGAAGGGAGAGGGACAAAGATGAAGGTGGAGTAAAATCAGAATCACTTTAGTTAGTTCCTCAATTGAATTCACTTGATTCAAAATCTGCTGGCTGCCTCCTAGGAACTCTCCAGATACCCTGAAGTTTTTAATGGGAGGCCTGCAAAGCCTAGGCCAGCTGCTGGCCCTTGGCACAGGGATGAATTTCACCCTCGATGCATGACATGTCCACTTTGTTCTCGCAGGAGCTGTGCACGCTCTGGGGAGAGAACGGTCTCCTCGCACAGTGGCTCTTTGTGCTTGTATTTGTGTCCCGCGCCACTAGATGGTGATGCATGCACTGACTCCACATCCCAGTTCCCTAAACAGCAGTCCTTCCTCTTGCGTTTACCTTCTTTCTGCTTGTGTCTTAGATCCCTGTCATATACAGCCCTAATATAAAGCAATGCTGCTACAAGTGTCCCACCTCATCTGCTCCCACTGAAAAGCTACGCTGCCAGATGTTCAGGAGGGCAAGGGTAGAGACTGGCACGTAGACTCACCACTGAATTCTTTCTTTAGGAACAGCTGGAAGTTTTGCCGGCCTTTTGGGTCCCTTATCAGCTCACTGAAATTAATGGCCCATCGCTCCACACGCATCCTGGTGGGGATTTCCACGCTGCAAAGGTTTCAACACAAACAGCGCTGTGGGATTCATGTCACCCATTTAATTGACCTATTAATTGAAAGTAGGATGCCCTTCACTGGAGCGCCAAGAGATTTTCCCAGCCCTCTGTGTTTTCCGGTAAGCTGTAACGAGCTCCCGAGGTCAGCACACTGAGCGAGTGGCAATTAAGCGACTTTGTGCACAGTGGGATGGGGAATTACTCGCAAAGGGGCCAGCTCTGCTCTGCCTCATACCAGATGTGCATATTGATTTGCTAGAGCAACTTGGTCAAAATCAGAATCTCTCTGGAGGAGGCAATCCTTTTGGCCCATCGGCCTAGATTCCCCCAAGGGTACCACATCAGTGACCCAAAGCAGCTTTGGCCCTGTTTTAATGGGGCACTTAATACATACACTAGCAGTGGAACAGACCCCAAATATATGACATGCCCTGTATGGGGTTGATGCTTCACTTCCTTGGCAGGGAAATCTCTTAGTGAAGCTTTTCTAGCTCAAGAACTCAGGACCAGGACCTGCATCCATAACTTAGCATATGCCATTTTGCTACCAACGTAGCATAGCCATGGTTTTGATACCCTTAGATCTGCAGCCTAATACCTGTAGGAACCAATGGCAGTCTTAACCCCAGCAGCAGGGACTCAGCGGGGGCTGCAACCCCCCAACCCTGTCCCACGACTCTACACAGTTCTTGCTTCAGTGCCAACACATGCTACATCATAGATGACCAAATGCCACTCTTCAGGCAACGGGAGCCATCCCACAGCAGAATTAGCCTGTTGAACCTATCACTATACCCACCCGGGTGAGAATTCATGCACTCTCAAACCATTAAGGCAGACTCCACTTAAAAAAGAAAGGAGAGCAAGGACTGCAAATCCATCACTGTGCCACAGTCAAGACCTCTCAGAACAAAAAAAAGCAGCCCCATTTGTTACTAAGGAGCAGAGATCATGGCAGGATCCACGCTTCCTTGTTTTGGCGTCCATCAACACAAATGTTGGCATGAACCAGAAGCTGGTGAGGAGTCAATACATACAGTTTTGCATTGAGCTCCCAGAACGTGGGGTCATCCGTTATCCAGGGGTTGCTGGGGAGGCAGACTGCCAGGAAGGGATCGTTGGTCAGCAACTGCTGGGCATATTTCACAAGCCTGAAAACAATGCAGATGAGAACAAAATGAGGATCTGCAAGCAGCATCTCAGACAGCTGGATTACAGACCAAAGGAGTCCCTGCACAGTCCTTAGGGGCTGGGACTGAGGCCCTGAGAGCGGGCCTCAAGACACACATTGCCATGACTCTTCCTACCCAGGGATGCCAGGCCACAAAAATACCCTCCAAATGGCAGCCTTGATATTGTGTTGTCTGAATACCCAGGGATTTGGCAGGCTCCAGTGCTTTGTCTCCCTTCAGTGCTTTACTCAAGGCACACAGTGACACCAGAGGAAGATGTGGGAAAAGAACCGAGCAATCTTGTTTCAACTGGTGGATCAGACTCCCCAAACAAAAGGAGGGCCATTGGGATGTGTTATGTCACCCATTAAACACAGCAAGGACACAGAGAGGAAGAAAACAGATGTTGCTGTAGCCTGGACTTGGATCCAGCCAGCTGGATGACGGCAAGGGGCAGGAGAAGCCGCTTTTCAGAACTGGCATCTTTTAGTTTCTCTTTAATGTGTGCTCCCAGCAAGCCCCAGGATGGAGGGGACATTGCTGAATGCCCTCGCGTGGCCCCACTCCTCACCCAGCCCTCAGAGCTTATTTCCCTGCAAGGCGCTATGAGACGTGCCAGGCACAAAGCTCAAATCTCCTCACTGTAGTTGGAGCAAAGCAGATAAACACCCCCACGCACACACACCATAAGATCTGGCCAAACCTGTAACAACAGCCAATTTCATTAACGCCCCAGGAATATTTCTTTTTCCCCCCCTCTTTGCTTTTGAAAAATTCATCTGGTTTCTGTGTTTAAAATTCATCCTGGGCTAGGTTGCTTTCATGTGTTCAAAGTTTGGAGTGCGCTGTCCAAGGCTTTGTTGCTAACAGGCATCTTGGCACAGATCCTGCGACTCTACGATGTTGTTGCACAAAGTATACTGCGGGGTTGATGCACACACATTCAATACTGTCTCCTCAGTGGAAATGCCAAGGCATTTGGTGCCTGCATACTTCAGTCCGATCCATACCTTCTAATCAAGCTATGAATATAAACCCATCCATTCAGGGAACAGTGCTCTGTCCTCCTAATGATCAGGGATTTCTAGCTCTTCCCAGATCAATAGCGTGCTCTGATGTGTGCGGGCTATCTGGAGGCTGATCTTACCTTGATCAGTAATAATTAGACTTGGGCCCAGACTTCTGGCTTTGCATCAAGATCCAAATATCCTCAAAGCACAGGAATGTTTGGATCTAGGGACTGGATTTCATCCCGCAGAGAGGCAGAGGCCAGCGTGTGAAGTGTTTTGCCAAACAACATTAGCAGCACTAAGGGAAGGCAGGCCTGGACCCAATCCACAGGTTGGGAAGCTGAGGCACAGAGAGGTGCGTGCCACCTGCCCATGGCCACAGAAGGGGTCAGTGGCAGAGGCAGGAGCTGAACAGAGACTCCTGGTCCCTAACAAAACCAAGAGACAACAGCACCTCCCTCCCTGCCCTTCCTCCCCGAGTGCCCAAAGACACCCAGAGACCCCCAAGTCATGTGGCCCAGTGTCCAGTCAACTGCAGTGAAGGGCGGGGAGTCCTCCCCAGAGAGCAAGGAGCAACACAACCACTCTACAGAGGCCGCAGGAGCCTAGCTATAGGACTGGCCCCAGTGTGCTCGATCAGTGTGCACAGGGCTGGGGGACCTGCCTCTTCTGCACCGCTGTACCAGGACCAATTTCCATGGGTTAAAATTCCCAGTAAAACTCGAGAGCTGATTCTGGATTGGGACATGGAGCCCTTCTCTGCTCTGAGACTCTCCTTTGCTGTCTCCCTGGTTCCCAGTCTACTTAATGAGCAACCTAAAGACACAGCATATAAATGGCGCTGTGTAGGGTTGTGCTATTGATTGCCCTGGAGAGTCACAAGATAAACAGTGCAATCATCTCATTAGTAGAAGAGAACTGAAGACTAATTAACGTGTTGGAAGAAGGAAGTGGAAACTTACCCTCCCAGGGAGACAGAAGATTTCACTGTGGACTTCATGAGGGCCTGCCTATAGTACATGATCTAAGAGTAAAGAGAAATGTTTTGTGGTTAGCAGTTACAGCCACGAGTGTGAAGGCTCCCCAGCTGCCAGCCTGGCCTACCCCATCCCATCTGGCAATAGTGCCCCCTCCTCAATAAGAAGGTGCCCATGGACTTAGTGTCATTACATCCCTTTATCGCCACAGCTATTTTCATGGAGGTTCTTCTACATGTCATGTTCTATAATGTGGAAGTAATTAATGGGAGTTTCTTGTGCTGCATGACAAAAGGGTAATAGGTGCTGCCTCATTTCTGTCTCCCCTGTAAGGAGTCGACTCACCTACAAATTCAAACATGTCAGTAGCATTGCTACTGGGCTCCTTCTACCCTGGCAACGTTCAGGATACCTCCCACTGCTCTACTGCGCTCAGGTGCTCTGCCCTGAGTGTTCAGGGTGAAAGAAGCCCCCTTCACTAGCAGCACATTGTCTAGCTCTGCTCCAAGCCTTGCCAGCATGGCCAGTGCTGACAGCAGTGCAATGGCAGGAAAAGTCCTGCAAACACATTTTTTTGCAACCTCCCCAGGGCAAGGACCTTATCAACCTGCGCACTTTTAAAGCACTGAGGGGACCTTGGGGCAGTCATGCAGAAGGTGGGGCAGGACAGCAATGCATACCAACCCCATCCCGTGAACATTTCACAAGGTCTAATTACCTCCCGCCTGTAAACATCAAAGGTTTTTTTCTGCAAAATAAAGAAGCATAAGCATTAATCTTGGTGGGTGCTCAGAACTGCTCTTAAAAGAAGAACAGGCCACTGGAGAGTTTCTTATTGGACACCTCTCTCCATATAATCCTCATAACCATTAGAAACAGATTCAGCCTATTATCTAAGCAGCTCATTTGATCAGGGTATCATCAATGCTAAGTGCTGCACACACCAGAAGTGGTTCTCTGAGCTGTATTTATGTATAGTGTGGCCCACTCCATCACAGCCTGTGTGCACTCAGTTAAAGGGTTATGCTAATAGAGCTAACATAGATTCATTTAGGAGACAAAGACTAAATCATTCAATACCAGTTAAAGGAGACAGCAACCAACACACTGAGGATGTAAATTAGGAGCCCCAAACACACTGTCTTTTGGGCTAAGGGTGCTTAAGCTGCGTCATGAATAACTCAGAGGATGTCTTGGAAGGCAAGAAATTGACTGCAGGGCATTTATTCCCATGGCTCCCTTTGAAATGCAGGAATTACTTTATTTAGAAGAAACTTAGGTGGTGAGGAGGAAAGGCAGGCGAAATCAAGGATCTTCCCAGCATGCCTTCACTGTCTTGATCAGACTTTTAGTCTTGCGACTGCCATTGAAGCCACCAGGAGGTATGCCACGTGTGACTGGTGAAAGCATTATCCTGCCTAATTAGCTTTGCTTTGTGGGATCCTAGGGTGTTTATAGATGGGCTCTGGGAGACAGCACACACACACACATTAATTAGTGAGCTGCACTAATTAAAAACACCCCAGCATCACATGCATCAGCGTCCCCATGCTGCAAAAATGGCAGCGGGGCGCTTTGAACTAGAGCTCGTTGCACTGATCCACATGACGCTGGAGGCTGCTGAAGCGCATTAACTTCTGTGCTCCAGCAGAGTCGATTAATTGAGTGTGCTCCGACATGCTGGATTTACAGCACATTGGAGCAGCCTTCCTGCGTGTGTGTAAGTGCCCCTAGTATTTGCAAATAGTGCCAGGTTTGCAACCCAGGAATCCAAAGTCCTTAGTCTGCTGAGCAGGAACCAGATGGAAAGCAGTGGCATGTATGTCCCACCGCAGGGAACCTCAGCCCTGACCTCTAGACTGACAGGGCATTCTCCCATAGCTGCTCTAACCCCAGAGTAGCACAGCCCGTGGGATCAACTGGGAGAGCTGGCGCTGGGTCTTAGCCACTCCAACATCTAATCCTGCGCAGTATGGAGAAGTGAGTTCAGGTGCCAAGGCCTCAGGGAGCCTCCTGGGTAGGGCTTAGCAAGCAGCCAGTTAAATCATTTGCACTGGTGACCGGTGTGACAAGGACACTCATCCACTGGGAACGGGTGAAGGCGACCAAAGTTGGCAGATCACCTCAAACTGGTCTCCAAACAGCTGTCAGAATAAAGTCCCCTTGATAATTTTCCTTTAGTTTTTTTGGGGGGAAAACATAACTTAACTTGTATTATTATTTGGATGAGACCGAGGCCAAATGTTGTCCTGCCTGCAATGGCCCAGGCTGGCAAAAGCAAAGCTTGGATGCTTCATAATTGGCATCTGGATAAGCGACTGGGTCACAAATGTGTGTCTCACGAGCTGGATCTGGTCCTGGGGCAGAAATCCCTGTAAGGGATTCCCCAGCCCGCAGCATATTCCAGTATGCTCCATATTTGCCTGCTGGGATCTCCTGATACCTCACACACAAGCATCTTTTATGCATGTGCACCAGTGCAGTGACAAGAACAGGGAGGGCCGGGCAGCACTGAGTTTGAACAAGGCTAACACAAATGATCAGGCTCAAATTATAAACCACAGCATCTGCCATTTAGTCTTGGAACAACTGGAGACAAGGGAAGTTTTGCTTGATTAGTTTTCAGGCTCCTTACAATCAACTGAGCTGCTCAGGGTTAAAACAAACTGCTCTATTTGCATCCATGCTTCTGGTCCTGAGTCTGCCCACTCACATCTACGGAAAAGTTTCAGCTTATTTCAGTGGTGCCAGATTCAGGATCATATGCACACAATCCTGGTCTTACATCTGCAAATGACACCTGTCAAAGCCATGCAAGCGTCACCCCTCCCTCACATTTCTATCAGGGGTGTCTTTACTATAGATCTCGTCCAGGTAAAGAGGGGAGACAGAAAATCATATGCTTCTGCTTGCTTCCCACAACACAGCCTGAAACTTCTACCCATTTATAGTTTCATAGTTTCTAGGGTCGGAAGGGACCTGAGCAGATCATCAGTCTGACCCCCTGCCATGGCAGGAAAGAGTACTGGGGTCAAACGACCCCAGCAAGGTGTACATCTAGCATTTAGGAAGACTCCTTCTCAGAGAGCTGGGCTCCCATTTTTAACCAACTATTTCACATGTAATCAGAGCTCATTAATACAGAATGGACTTCCTTTATCCTCTGGAGAAGCCTGAAAATTAAAAAAAAAAAAATCAGATACCTTCAGATTTCCCATGTGCCAGCTAAATTATTTCACCTGATGACAGGAGCCAGGAATGGGTAGTTTGTGAAAATCAATGCGCTAAGACAATTAGGTAAAGGGAAAAAGCTTTTAAACAAAATAAAATGTCCCTGCTACTATTTCTGCTCCTGGGTGGTTCTTTCTGACAGCCGTGGTGCCGTTGGATGAGGAGGGAGGAAAAGCAGCTTTCATAGAAGTGAAGAAGATTTAGTCTTCAACAAGGCTGGGTGCCTTACATGAAGGTGCACACCCCACACACGAGAAAGACAGACAACTGCAGGGAAAGAGAGAAGGGAAAACACTGTAAGTGAAATGCTATGCAGGGCAATACAACCATGAGTAAAGGTGAGGTCGGAAAAAGAAAAGCTATTTAGGAAACAGTCCACCCTCTGCGTGAGTAGCGACAGCAGGTATCTAGGGATCAAAAAAAGGGGTCGTGGTATGCAAGAAGCTGCAAACCACCAATGGAGTGGAGCCCCCCCAACCTGGGAAGTATGAGAGAGAAGCATAAGATGATGCCACCCACCCTCTCCCAGAAGCCAAGGGGAGCAGAGGCCTGTCCAGTGGGCCTGGCTCCCACCAACAGTATCCATCCATCCCATTCAGTGGGGCAAAATATGCCCCAAAAGCACTTGGAGGACAGCTGGGATTTAAACACAGGACAGGCCAATTCTGGAACAGCAAGGGGGACGATGGGTCAACGCTTTTGCGGATGCCAGCAGCTGCGCGGAGCGGCTGCACCTGTTCCTCGAGTTGGATCCCAAAGCAAACCCCAAATACCAAAGCCCCCCTAGATTTTTGTAACTTGAGTGGCTGATTCTCAGGCTTGGTTTTAGGGCACAGCTCCCTATCCACATCACCAGATCCCCCAGCTCATAGTTCGGATAGGAAAGACCAAGGACTGAATGGGATGTTGAGAGTCTGCTCTAGCGCTACAGGTAGCATATGAGTACCTGCTCTCACGGCCCATGCCTGAAGTGCCGTGGTACCCAGAGCCCACCGCCTGGCCACCTGCTCAATCCACAATGAAGCCTTTTAAGAAAACTAAGGGAAGAATCCCAGCTCCCGCGCCCCACAGCTGCACGGGAATTCCCTCCCCCAGCACCAGTCGCTCTGGTTTCACTTCTGCTATAAACCCATCGCAGAGACTCTAGGCATATGGGGTAGTCTAGCCCCCTCCCCAGGCTGCCCCTTTGAAGTGGGCTCCAGAGTCCCCTGAACATGCAACCACTGCTCCCCTCCCACTATGCACCCAGCTCAGCATCGCCTCCTTGGCCTACCCTAGACCATGCGGTATGCAGAGGGTCCTGCTCTCTGACTGATGGAGACATACCCTTTAGCTAAAAAGCGCCATTACTTGCCCTCATTGAGATTACTGTAATTGGTAATACCCTTCACCTAGCAATTTATCCCATGTACCCAGAGCGCAAAGCTCACGGTCCCGTTAGGCTCCAATCAAAATGGCAATTAGAGGGATAACTCCAGTCAGTCTCATCCGACTGTCACGTGCTCCACGAAGCATCACGCACAGCCCTGTCACCCTAGATAAAGCATCACCTCCAGCCTGCTCCTTGGCTGAGCGCCGACAGCGAAGGTGGATGGAGCGTAAGGCACCAGAGCTGCTCCCAATTCAGGGCCCTGATCCTGCACAAGCCTCATGGGATGGTGTGAGATGCTCTTAGCTGACTGCTGTGCCAAGATGTGATCATCGGTGTACGCTGGGCTAAGAGCTGTGCTCAGGCACTGCAGCTAAATCCATCCCGAGCAACAAAGGGAATATCAGTGGGCATCTGGATACAGGGACAGAGCCCTGGAAACTAGTTTCTATATGATAACACAGCTCAAAACGGGGGGGTCCCAGCAGCAGTGCCTGGACTGGGAGTTTTATCTGTTTTGGAGCCTCCCTCTGTCCCGGGAAAACTTCTGCTGGCAGGACCCTGGTGGGAACCGGAGGTGGTCTGCTGCAAGGTCATAATGGTCCTGGCACTGGCTATGCTGCTAGGGCCTGGAAGCAGTGGGATCACACCTAGATACCCTCAGGCACTCCAGGATGGAGTTCGAAATTGAGAAGCAGCCCATAAGAGAGGCACAGTCTGGGCACCGCAGGACCCACCCTGCACCCATGCTCTGAGCTCCACCAGCTGTATTGCAACCTCACCTCTGAGCCCAGCCAGCAGCCCCCTTGCCCCTGGGAGCTGGGCAGAGAGGAGCTGAGCAACCACGACCTGGGAGCAAAGATCCTGCTTGGTGGGCAGCCATGTATCAGCCGCACAGCCCAGACCGGCATTGCTGCAGCCCTGTGGCCTGCTGTGGGTCTGCTCGCGGTTTCCATCAGCAATTGGGACATTAGGTATTTATCACTCGGCTTGTCCCATCACCTTAGGTTCATGATGTGTAAAGCCAGGAGGGACTGTTATCATTCTCTAGCCTGCCCTGCTGAGCTTAGTTTTTCAATCTCTGCAACAGGCCAAAGAACTTGCTGCTGAATGACAGCATATTTTTTAAAGAGACTTCCTGCCCTTAGTGAGACAATCCCTCCCTTCCTACTCAAAACAAGTGCCTTATCCCTCTTCCTGCATCCCCAAGTCCTTTATCCCATTAACACACTGAGACTCACTCACAGGTCAGTGCTAGAAGCCACCTGGAGAGGACGGCTGTTTGCTTTAGCTGCTCTTTCTTCCAAGAAACGCTACCAAAGCAAGCCTTCCCAGGCAAGCAACACGTACTTGAAGATGTTTGTGTCAATCATGGCTTCAAAAGAATTAATTCTGCTGCCTGAAACGGATTATCAGTGGGAATATTTTATTTCCAGCTTCAGAGATAAAGAAGCCTAATTAGCAGACAAAGCTGCAGTAGATGGAGGCAAAGCAGAGCCACAAACTGCAGCTGAGTTAAGATGCTGGTTTCTCTTCTCCCCCGCTGCTCCTCAGTCCCCCTGAACACAGCAGTAAAACTTCTCCTGGCTTTAGCAAGACCCACCAAAGGGGAGAGAGGGATGCATTTTGCGGTCCAAGTATCAAGACTCTAAGAAATTAGCCAATCTAGAGGGTTTAGGAAGTCTGGTGTTTTCCAGGTCAGAAGAACAGCTGCCAGTCAGAGAGGGGGAGAGCCATGCACGGTAGCCAGGTTTTCTCGTGCATTTTCAACTGAGCTTTGAAATGTAAACAGCAGAAGCAGGAAGGATGCTCTTCACTCAGGAGTGCAGATTAACATCAAGAGAAGGCAGGCTGGGAACACCCCTTCAAGCATCTGGCTGGAGCTGAGCACAAATGTTTCAGCCAGATTTTTCTTGATGGAAAAAGGGGGGTTTTGAGCAAAATGGGAATGTTCAGTGAAGAAAACAAAAACCCCTTCCATTTTCATCTTAAATGTGGATGGAAATCATGATTGCGGATGAAAATCCAAGAGCCTAAAAAAGCGGAAATGCAAAGATCTAGAACTCTTGGGACAGAAATGATACCTTTTGTTAGACCAAATAGGAAATCGCTTGCATTAGACACCTCCGGGGAAGGAATCCTACCTGATCTACATGACAAAGAGCAACTCAGAGACACGCCCACGAACCCAGAGGGACAGATTTTCCATCTCCCTCTGTGCAAAAATGAAGTTTATTTCCTACCTATGGGGACTTTTTACCATCTTTAATTTTCCCAGAGCCTGATGAAGGGCCTCTGAGCCCGAAGGCTTGTAGAATTTTTTTGCGATTTCCTGGTTGGTCTAATAAAAGGTGTCGTTTCTGAACCAAGAGTTCTAGGTTTGTGCATTTCTTTTTGTCTCAGACCGACAGAGCTGCCAAATGCATGCCTGAAAGAATTGAAGGATTTTTGTGTTTTTGGTTTTCAGAAAAACTTTGAATAATTGCAAAGGAAATTCTTGCTGAAAGCTCCACAGCTTTGTTTTTTCCTATTTTTTTCCACGGGGGGAAAAATGATTCCTTCCTCAGCTCACCCCAGAATAGCCACACTATCCCTTCCTGGGCCCACTCGCAGAGCTCTACCTAACCATTTCTTTTTCTGTCCCTTTTTCCTCCCTCCATTCCCTCCTTCCCATTCCCTTCTCTCTCTTCTCACTGCTTTCAGATAACCGCCCCAACTGAACTGATTTCCATTCACTTAGGTATTTACTTTCTTTGGATTTATAACTAATGAAAGTGCCCACAGACAGGCCCAGAGCATCCTGCTGAGCCCCTCCAATGACAAACACAGAGTGCAATAGTCAGCTCACCCCCCCCCCCCC